TCTCAGCAGCTGCATCCGAGTTAAAGAATCAAAGCGAATTCTGTTTCTGAATTTGTTTAACTTGCGTCGGAAGCCAGTCTGGCCGTCACCGCCTGCTTGGCATTTACAGCGAATAATGTGTTGGACTCTTTGGGACTGTTTCTTGCCAGCTACTTGTGCCGTCCATGCCAGTCGCCCTTCGTAACTACATGCTACAACCTCAACCCGAACGATCCCTGCGTCCAAGGCAGGGTCATTGGGTGAAGCTTCGGGACGTGCGCTCGGCTTGTTGTACTTCACTTCTGTTTAGCATCTCGATGCTCCCCTCAAAGTGGAGCCGCCAGGTCAGAACCCAGCAGCATCCCTATGCAGCTGCGGCGGCAATTTAAAAGGGTGACCGCACTTCCACTTGCTTATTTTTTCGAGGAGCGGGTAGGAATGTTCCTTGCACACTTGCACTTGCTGCTCTTTGACGGTTCTCCACTGGTTTCTGCTCCGTCTTGCGGTATGCTGCATGGAGATGGTGCACCCTTCGGTTTCGTATCTTAAAGCTCTGAAGCCCCACATCGTAGACCTCTAGGCCCTAAACCCCAGATCCCGAAGTAAGCGCTCAACCCTGAACCCCAGAATAAAAATGATCCTAAACCCCTAAAACCTCTGAGCCCCAAACCCCTCGATCTACACCGCCCTCAACCCTGTAAAACCTGGTAAACGCCCGAATTAAAAAAAGCCAAGCCAAGCCTCATGTAGTCTCGGGCAATTGGGTTGAAGTCGAGGCCAATAGGTTTATGGTTGAGGGTAAGGAGACTTGCGAATATAAATGGGTGGGAACACTTGAGGGTGGATTCCGGTGTTGAGGAGGATCCCAAAACGTAGCGCATATGATCCCTTTTCTGACGATCCTACTATCTTCTGTCTTTGTTGGAGCCCCTTATCGTCTGGAACTGCCGTGCAGGCGTGGACTTATTCTGATCCTGGAGGCGAGGTCCTGAACAAGGATCCTACTGTTTCTCTTCTGCCGATGTCCTTCTCGCCTTCTGGGGCCGCCGCTTTGAAGATCGGTAAGGTGCGCAACCTCATCTTTATGTTCAGGCATCCATGGCACGGGCCTTGTCCAACAGGCTGATACTCTTAATGCTGTGATCTTCCATGTCATGATACGCAACAAGTGGCAACACTCATCATACGAGTCATCGTGAACGGTGCGCAAAACTTGTTTTAATAATCATGTATAACCAGGAGCGTGATTCTCCTTAAGGGAGAAGCGGATACTCATGTCATATCAGCCTCAACATCCACGAGACTGAGATTCGTAGCATTTGATTCGTCTAAATCCTATCCCAAAGCATAATCTAGGCGTAAAGCATTGGTGCCATGTAGAGAGCAGTTCCGTGGCAAGTCAGCGCGTGGGAGGCTCGGGAAGCGAGGGAGGTGATGGGTATATCTATATCTATGGTCGGCTTAGGGTTTGGGGTTTAGGGGTCTCCCTACCCATGACTGAGCCCGTAAGGATGTTGGGACGTTCAAGAGAGCAGACCAACCAAGTCAGGCGAAAAAATACAGGCGGCTGCATTCAAACACATCTGACAAATAGTGACTTCGAAGCAGCGCTTTTCCAGTAACACTAGTTGTACACCTCTGAGGTCACGAGAGTACCGTTGTGGTGGCCACCTCAGTTCGAGAGCCTCGGAGTGGCTTGGGGCTTGGGGCTGATCTTACGTTGCGATGTCTAGCTGGGGTTGAGGGTTAATGGATGAGTAGTTATAAGTCTTTGGAATTTCCTATGCTCTCGTGCCGTTATCGTGCGAGGTATTGGTATCAATACTCTTCTTGTGAAACATGATGGGTCTGGGTGACGGTATGCTTGTAATTACCCTAAACCCTAAACCCTAAACTAAACCCTAAACCCTAAACCCTACTTGCAAATGCTGCAAGCCAGCAGGTGCCTCGATGCCGTTCAGCGAGCGACGGATCGAACAGATGACAGAGCCGGAATCCCGGCAGGGATCCCCCCAAAAGAGCTAATATAGGGGCCTCCAGTGTCCCATCTCTAGCCCTTGCAGTGTTTAAGCTTGCGGGTGAAGCGCATAAACTCAGTACGCGAAATGCGGAGTGCACTCGGCATGCAGAGCTTCCGGACTTCTGTGAGACATTCTCACGAGCAATCTTCGGGGGCTCCATACTCGAGACTTCGTGGACCCATTTGGCCATGAACGCGATGTGATGCCCTGCTGAGTCCAATGATTTCGAGACGGAGATTGCGGCATTCCGGTCGCTGCCTCCTCCCAACAACAACAGGCCGCAGTGGCAATTTTGGCCGATTCTCTCAATCTCGCTAAGATGTCGTACCCTTCCTCGATAGTCTGCGATAGACAAAGTCGAGAGTTCAAACACAAGCAGACTGTGATTTTCTGTTTATGCTTATCTTTGTGTCTGGAAGTGTTTGTGCGTGCTACTTGATTTTCTTGTGTTTGTGTGTCTTTTCTGTTTGCCTCGTGCTCCTGCTTCTGCGGCCAGGCGAGCTTCTTTCCTCGCCCTGCCTGCTCCAGCTGACGACAGGCATGTGCCTCACTGGTTCCAGACAAACCAGCTCTAACCCTAAACCCGAAACCCAAAACCCTAAAACCCTAGAAATGCCACACCCCAGGCCCTAAACTTATCCAGGCTCTGAAAGTCTCTCCGGGGTTTCGACTTGTCAGGCGGCGTTAGAGTAAAAGCCTGCCTCCTTGAGGCTCTCGACTGCGGAGACCTTGTGGAAGAAGGGCCTCAGAAAGCTTAACCATCTTAGCTGTCAAGTAGGTGGACTTTAACCCTTTTGGGGTATTACAACCCCTACATAATCCCCCCTAAACCTTACACCATCAACCCTAAACCCTAAACAAACTAGTTCCCCCAAGATTTGGACAAGTAGGTAACCAAGCAGCAGCGTCCCCCTTAGCGCTGAGCAGGCCTGCCGCTGCCGCTGAAGACGCCGAGGCCCGGGATGAACGGTTTAGGGTTTACGGACTTAGTTTAGGAATTAGGGTTTAGGGGTTTAGGGTTTAGGGGTTTAGGGGTTTAGGGTTTAGGGTTAGCGGATTTAGTCTCGGTCCGAACTGTGAAGAAGGGCCAGGTCCCTTGTCAGAAGGTGTGATGACACTCATGCTCTCCGTACTTGCAGGATCATGGGACTTAGTAACTAGGGTTATAATTAAGGTAACTATACTTATAATTACTTATAACCCCAATCAAGGTACTTATAACCCTACTTACTAAGTCCCATGATCCTCCAAGTATCCTTTGTGCTGTCAGCAGTTTGATTTTGCAGAGATGCGGAATTGCAGAGTTCGTGACAGCTTTGGCACAGTATTCTTGGACAGAGTTGCAGCGCAGCATGGCAAAGCCACCGGAAGATGACATCTCCTAGACTAGAAGTTGGCTACTGCTTCCCGTGGGAAGACTTTGTGCTCTTATAAGGGCTCCAGATGGGAAATACACGGCTAACCTGTCCCGAAAGAGCGAGAGATGGTATTTCCGGTCACAAGTGAGGGGTTCGTAAAGTCGCCGTGTTATGCGCTTGGAATCGGACGCTCGAGGGGCTTGGTTTTTTTCGTGCTGCTAATTTTCCTCACGATTTCTGATGGCCCTTTGAAGTTGGCCCTCCCCCAAAAGTGATGAAAGACGTGTTGCAAATCTCGGTTCCGAGAAAGGACATCAGGGTAACCCGGACTTCTTTCAAGATGGCTTGGAGTTCGGGCTTTAGACCCGCATGGCGTAAAACAAATTCGAATGATGATGATGATGAGCTCCCAAAAGGGCAGAGGTTCGGGGTACTAATGGGGCTCGCTGGGCGTACGATTTTCTGCCTCGTCATGCATCGTCTGATTTCCAGGTCTGAGTGCTTTGAAGGCCGCATCGTAAAGTTACCGGAGTGCTATCAATTGATCTTACAGGCCCGTGCATTATCATACACAGCTGCTTATGCTTCAACAAAGTATGCACTGGTGGTGGGCAGTGCTTCGCATAGATCAAAAACACCCAATTGCACTATGAGCTCCCCGAAAAGAAGGGAAGGTTATGGCATGAGCTGCTCTCTTGAGGAGCCTCCTGGTTCTCAGACTAAACCCTAAACCCTAAACCCTGAACCCTAAACCCTAGACCCTAAACCCTAAACCCTAAATCCTAAACCCTAAATCCTAAACCCTAAACCCAAAACCCAAAACCCTGAATTCATGCGCGTGCTGAGGCCGGACCCGATGGGCCAGAGCTCCGACTCCATCCGAATCGACGCGGACGTTTGACGACTTCTTACGGTGGGGAGGCTGGCCCACCACGAGCATGTCAGCGTCATCATCAGGCATATGGTATGTAGTATAGTATATAGTATAGAATTATATAATATATAATATATAATATATAATATATAATATACTATATATAGTATATATATGTATATATATATATGTATATATATATATACACACTATATAATACCCTGCCTTTTGCAGGCACATCCGATCAGTGCAGCTCTGCATCCGGAGGCCATCAGAGCCACGGGTCGCCTTAAGGGTTTCGCAGATGTCTGGAGCGTTTCATGGGCTTCGATGCGGTTTTCCAAGGGTTTAGGGTTTAGGGATCGGGCCATGGTGTCGTCTTCACAAAGGCCAGCTTGAAGGTACCTCTCCCAAGACAAGTTTTCTATGTAAAAGGAGCTTTTTGCATGCGCTGCTGTTACTGGATGGCACCAGACTCAAGATCATGTTGACAAGTTTTAGAGCCGCCGAGTAAAAAGGGACAGAAACGCTGAGAGCTGGTCCCGCCAGGCGGAGAGCAACCTCCTCCTCAAATCGTTCACTGTGCTCGGAGTCTGCGGCTTCCAGGGTGGTTCCACCTTTCTGACATCACTCAACGTGAAGGCTGCCCACCAAGCAGCGTGTTCGTTGCACTGCTGATGTGATTGCTCCCGCGGAGGTTCACACACTTTGACTCACACAAAGAGAGCTTTCCTTCAATGTTGTTTTTCTCAGCTTTAAAGCACCCGGATGCCAACTCCCACATGGACGATGCTTAGGATCGTCCAAAAGCTCGTGAATCTGGGCAGGAACTGCTTTGTGCTGTCTGCACAACCTGCGGGCACCGTCACCCCATCGAAGCTGGTCGAGCAGCAACGCCAAGTGCCATTCTCAGGGCTCCAGCGGAGCAGCAGGGGACATGTCGACATCGTGGTCCGATATTATAGCCTAATATACTATGGTATATTCTAGTATAGTATATACTATACTATATTGTACTATACTATATTGTACTATACTATATTGTATTACACTATGGTCTATTACATGCGCTCTTCCCTTCGCGCGGGTTTTGGATCTTTCGAGGCGCCGACTCCGAAGGTCCGCCGGCGAGGCGACGGCGAGTCCAGGCCATTCGGGGCCCTCCCTGCGCTGTGCGACGCTCCGGCCGTGCATCTGTGTATCGGGGTTTAGGCTTTAGGGTATAGGGTTCAGGGTTTAGGGTTTAGGGTTTAGGGTTTAGGGTTTAGGGTTTAGGGCTGCTTCTTCGGACCTCTGGGCCCTAGCACCAGCAGATGTGGCAGAACATACTTTCGGCATCTCCAGTTCGATTCCATGCAAGAGCCAGCTGCGGCACGTGCTTCGTCTGACAGACCTTGCACTGACTTTTTCAGCAAGAGTCAACTGTTAGCCTGAAGATTAGCATGAACGTAACAGAGGCCCTGGCTAAGCACATGGGCCTGTTTAGTGCCGATTGAGCCAGCCTGTGCTTTGCCAAGCAAAGACCCAGATCCGGCTGTTCGGCTGCAGGAAGATGTCGGGTGGCATCATGCTAGCATTAAGTTAGGGTTTAGGGTTTAGGGTTTAACATCTCCACATCTGCGACATTCTACATCTAAGGCTCTGAGGCTCACGATGTCTGCTGCAGACCTGTTGGGTTCAACCGCGGCATTCGCGCAAGGGAACGAAAACGAAGCTTGGCTTAGTTCGGCACAAGTTCAAACATGTTGAATCAGCAGCATAGCACATGGACCAACGCTGAGGTCATACTGGATATCTTCAAGAGGTGGGATGAGGACGGGAATGCAACCGCCCCGTGGCAACGTGGCAAGTCGATCGCCCTTGAAGCTCGGAAGGGGGGTCGACGTGGCCAACGGCAGTGCTTGCAGGATCACAGTGGGTTTATCGATCGCGACGAGCTAGCCAGCATCATGTACAAGGCGTCACACGCACAAAGCTTTGCAGACTCGTGGCTTGTGCCGAGACGATGATCAGGTGTCTCCGAGTCTCAGCCAGGACCAGAGCCTTGACTGCACATGGGTAGTTATCTAAATTAGGGTCCCTGTTTAAGTCCCCAATATAGTACGGCACCCTTATAATATGGACCCTAACAGGGTCCCTAATCTAGAAAACTATCCACATGTTCGGGCGCCACATCGGCACACTTAATTTCGTGCTCGTTCTGAGTTTGTCGTTGTTGTTGTTGATTTGTCAGAACAGCTGTCCTTATGCTGATTCGGTAGTTTGCAGGCACGACGGGCACCCACCCCTAAGACGGGCTTTTCAGTCTGCCACAAGCTTAAGGATCGACGTGCTACTGGGGTGCATTGACAGCAACCTCGATGGCGTGGCTTGTCATGTCAACCTGGTTTCCACACTTCTGTTGTCTCCCCTGGCAGGAGCAATTAACTCTCGATGTGGTCATGTTACGCCTCTTCCCACTTCCTCTTGCCTGGCCTGCCTTCAAAGTTCTTCACGGAAATGCAGCCACATTCGTCTAGCCATGCGCAGACAAACCAGCTGCCTTGTTTAGTCCGCACTACTCGGAATCTGTCGCATGATGGTGTTCTTATCCTGACGGCCCAAGCGCAGTTTTCGGAGTGGGCGTTTCACAGATTCTGGTGCTTGCATTGTACTTGGAGCTCGTTCCACTACCGTCACTTCAGCGATGATATTTGTTTCCTGAGTTCAGATTTTGCCAAGCTTCGGGCTTCATTGCGCCATGGAGTCACGAGGAATCTCTAGTGGGGGTTCGAAACCTCCTACATGGAGTCACAAAGCATCCAAAATCCGCAGCCTCTCTTTGTACGAGTAGCAATTGTTGCTCATGATCCGGGGATTGTCATTAACGAGGCCTGTTGTCTCGTGTGGCAACGCTTGCAGTTGACAAATATGCTATGTCTAAACTCGGGTAAAGTCGCATCATCAACCCGGGTAATGTGACACGGAGGTCGGCTGAGGGGTTCCTGTCCAGGAAGCTCTTGAGGCGCAAGGGATTCAGAGGCAGAACATGCGATCGACAAGGCCTTCCTGCAACATGCTTCTGCAAGCCCGACTCTACCGAACCTTCCTAAGACCGTCCGTGTGAGCTCAACCTGGTAGTTGTCTCAAGCCGAGGTCATTGACTATCGCGAATTTGTGGGCTGGCTTACAAACAGGCAGCCTGCCGGAAATGCTGGCCTCGTTTATGCCAGGCGAGAGACAGAGACAGTCTTAGGTCGCCTCCCGGAGGGAGCTCTGGCTCAGCTGAGGCTAGCCCAATACACAGTTGGGGATGACGGATGGATCACCGACTTCGACTTGAAGGGGCTCCTGAAGCCTCTGTTCGAAATCTGGGACAAAGATGGCTCAGGCGAAATTACGAGGCCCGCTTTGTCCCAGACCTTAAGCTGGACATGACGATTGTTGACATTGCTGAGCATGCTGGCGTGGCTTGAGAGCAGCTTATTCTACCATATTCTTTACTTCTTTGGTATATACTATATACTATACGATATACCACATACTAATTATATTATGTCCAGGCTTCGAGGTCTTGGGGCTTGGCATCTTGATGCATGCACAAGGGAATGCCTGCAGCACCTTTCCGTCTTTTTTCGTTGTCAGGGAAGAGTTCAACGAGCTGTCGCAGATTCTACAAAATTCATTGCGCACCTCGGGCTGCGCAGAGATCTAGGTCCAGAGCATTCAAAAGCATAGTGGTAGGATGCACTTCTGTGCCAAGGACTGCATCCTCTCGTGCCTAGGATGCATCTGTGATTGGATACCAACCTGCCATGGCGATCGTCCAACACGCTGCAAGGTCTCAACAGTCCAGTTTGATGTCGCCACTGCTTCATGTTTGCCCCTACAAACCCTCAACCCTAAACGCTTTCCTCCCGTTGATGGAACGTTCGTGGAATCTGCTGAGGCCAAAGGAGATGTCCTGGTAGTGGTCACCAGCTCAGTGCTCCATGTATCGGATGCTGTATATCAGTGATGTCTACCCATCGTCCCACGGTGTGCACCTAAAGATTTGCGATCGAAGGACTTCGAAGTCAAGGAGTTCGTCTCTTTGGATGAGTTTGTATCGTGCAGTGCTGAGCTTGGGTGTCTGGGTCAGGGACTTCTGATGGCAGAGCAGGGCCATTCCGAGAATCTGTTGGGTCGTTTCCGCGTGCAGCGGAAGGTTCTGCTCATGTGAGGTGGCAGTCCGGGGTCCTGCAGAGATCTGGCGTCCCGAACAACAAGTTGCCAGATTTGATTCACACGCTGGCGGTTCCTTGGCAGAGATGGGATTTGAGGTGGTGGTCTCTCCCGGAAATGTCGATGAGGAATCACTTCAGTGCATCTTCGACATTGAGCAGATGAATCAACAGGCATGCTGAGGAAGTGAGCCGAAACTCATTTGTCCTTAAGCTTATGCGTGACCGGGTGTGTGGCAGGCCGCGACAGGCGTGGACAAGACCTTCTCTGCATTGTCGAACACTATCCAAGTTGCCGCAATCTCGGGCATCGGCATTGTAGGATTTCATGGCAGGTGGCGTTCAGCAAGGAAGCACGCACGAGGTTTTGCCCGAGTAGTTTCGCGTATCATAAGCGATACCACCAACACAAGCGGCTACTGTGCGTTTTCGGAAGTCATGTGCTTGCAACAATACAGACATGGTCTAGAGTTACAAAGGTTCGCAGCAGGTGGACACGGCAGGAACCGCACGAGAATGCTGTGTGCGTTTGCACACTTGATGTGCTCAGCACGAATGACATAGTTTATGACATCGTGTTGCAGCACTGCCTGTTCGAAGGTTGAATTTTTGCTCATAGCGCACTGCGTCGGGCCGTACTCTTGTGAATGCTTTCGGTTGGAACTTGTCCCCGCTTGAGGCGTAATTCCGATACCCTAGGGTCAAGGTTTCCATTGTGTTTGCACAAACACAAATGTCTCCCCCTTGGCATCCAGTGACCTTCTGTCCAGTTGGTCTCGCATGCAATTGCGAGCTACTTGTGTCACGCAGCGACCGGGTGTCTCCGGCGATCTACATTTCGCTGCTGGCACGTAACGCGTTATCATGCCTGCCGTGAATTAATTACGCAAGCACATCTTTCGAATCACCCACCCGCACAAAGGACACCCCTCTGCTTTATTTTCCAGGGACCAGAGAACTGTAATGCCTTCTCGAAATCCAACATGTGTTAGCACCTGCGAGACAATTTTTGTCTGCCTGCTTCCACAGGCATCAAAACACTCAGCCTCCCTGCTCCTCATTGTCAAGTGCCCGCGCTTTCTCTATATGAACAGGCATGGCTCGCAGCATCTGGTGCCAAGGTGTGTGCGTACTGAAAACACTGCCAAACCCAGTCAAACACGATGGTACGTTTGCCAAACTCCGTTGAGGCACGTGCTGGACTTCCTTTCTTATGCTTTCCACGCGTTCCTGGCACCTTAGGTGGCCCAGACCACGCGCCAGCTCTACGCTCCGAAGCTCAGTGAGGTACCTGCTGATGCGCAGGCCCGGTCCGGGATTCGAGAGCCGTGCTTAAGACCTACGGCCTTGATGGCGTGTGTTGAGGATGTAGAATAATGTAGGAACCTGATTAAGAAACCCTGGCCCTATAACCCCAATATTTTAGAGTTCAGGGTTTCTTAATCAGGTTCCTACATTAGGATTGGCCAGGCTCTGTGGCAAATTTTAACAAAGCCAGCTCTGAGCGCCTTGAAGCGAAGAGAGGTCCACCAAGAGACTTGTGAGTTTCCCTAAACCCCTAAACCCCAAA